ATAAAATAAAATAAAATAAAATAAAATAAAATAAAATAAAATAAAATGTAGCTCAGGTTGGCCACAAACTTCCTCTGTAGCTTTTACTCTGACCATTTGGCTTTCCTATGACTGGGCTTCTCTCTGTTGTATTTCATTCTGCCCATCGTCCTTCTCTGAAAAGATCGACTCATTTGTCTCCCATGATGCATCTGGTTGCCTTTGCATATCCCAAGTGTTCCCTTCACCTGGTCTCTGTAATTTCCTCTCTCATCTACCAGTGCCCAGTGTGTTGCTGTTTCTCCCAGGATCTTTTTAAAGAAGAGCGCACATTCATCCAAAATATCTAGGAACCTAATGCTTTCAACCAAAATTTCAATTATATACTGTGATTTGTTGTAATACATTAAATTTCAGATGCTCTTTGGGACACAAAAGCTAGGATTTCTAAGTCAGTAAATGCATGTCACATAATAGCTGTTAATGGTGAGCAAAATATTATATATATAACTAGATTTTCCACATGTGTATAGTATATTTTATGTATTCTGTGATACTGATATTTTAGAAAGTTTAGAGTGCCAAACTTGTTTAATCTGTATTTTCAATTAAATTTATGGCAATTAAAACATTTGGAGACAAGGGCATCACATTTCAATTTGTAAAGGTCTTTTTAACTCTACTGTTCCATTAAGTATGGATTGTCATTTGTCACATCTGGGTGACTGCTTCAGACAATAACAACCAAAGCACAAAATGTATCTGGGGGCAGAACCGGCTCAAACCTGTTCTAGACTTGTTTGGTTCACTGCGCTTTACTTGGTCTCAGTTAATGCTTCCTAAATCCTGCCACAGTGCATCAAGTCTGTTTTGCTAAGCAAGCAAGAGTCCTGACAAGTCCTTTGGCAAGGAGTTCAGCCTCATCTTTTGTGGTGTCATCACTCTCTAGATGAGTTTTCATTTGACGCACATTTTTCAGTTATGTCACAGGCTGCTCTACATTTCCTTTGAAATCAGTAAGATTTTCCTGTTAAAGTTTCTCACTTTGAGTTCCTAGAGCTGCCAATCTGTCTTTGGTACATAGACACACCCCATGATATTTAATGAAAATACAGCACTTTGTTACAGAAATACTAGTATGTTTAAAGTGCCTGTAGCATTTTATTGTAACCAACAGTTTATACAGTTTGGCCAATGTAACACAATGAAAAAGGCTGACTCTTTAATTATAATCAAGTTTTAGCTGACAGTTATTACTATTTCAAGTATGTAATTATGATTACAGATTATCTGTTATGAATTTCTATTTAGCTGCTGTATGCGCACACGAATGTATACAATTATTTGTACGGATATAGTTATTATGTGCATTCACACACTCCTTAGCCTACTACATTCAGTTTGGTAAACTCTTAATTGTAAGAGGTCTCTTATTTTGGTATACTGGTTAAAGTTTTAGTTTAAAATTTTCCTTAAGAGTTAAATACTAGCTCACCTATGAGGAGTTCGCCTTTCTATGCTTACATGTGTGCATCCTTGTAAGACCTCAAAGCCTCTTAGCCGTCACATAGGCCAATCTCCTTAGGGTGTAGATTACAGCACTGAGGGCCAGAATGATCAGGTTACTTTCCACAGATCCTCAGGTCCTCATCCTCAGCTTTCAACCAAAGGTTTCAAAGCTCCAAATTCCAACTGCACTGTTGTCTACACCCAAAAGTACCATCAGTGAGCAGTCAGGGTCCTCACTTGAATGGCTCGTCTTGAGATGTGGGCTCATTAGAGCCATACTAACTGACTTCGGTGTAGCTGGAAGGATCGTTTTTAATACCATGGTAAGAAGTGAATCTGCAAATTCTAACAGAATAACTAAATAAAATAAATACAAATAATTTACTTCTGTGTCTACCTTAGATGATGAACCTTACCCAATAGGAAGTTCTTCAATAAAATTAAAGGCAATGGTGAATATCCTAAGGTACTTCAACTGACAGATATCAGAAGAGAGTTCCCTCATAGGATTGTTTCTCATTTTCAGTACCTGCAGATTTTTAAGACAAAGCACCTAGAGAATAGAAAAAAACAAAAAACAAAAAACAAAACACAAAACACAAAACAGACATTAAATAGATGACAAGTATACAAACTATCATGTGTGTCTTCTACAAATGCTTTAAACCAATACAGTAAAATTAGTATGGAAAAACATGTTGGCTTATATTGTGTGTCTTAATAAACAATTTTAGAAAAAAAGACCAAGGCAGGGTAACGCTGACTGATAAGTAAGGAGGGAACCAGGACTCTTGAGTCATGGAAGAGGCTATAAAGATCTACCTTAGTTTTCCCTTTGAAATCATGATTGTATTAATTCTTTTAGAATTTCATACAATGAATTTTGATCACATTCGTGGTCCTTCTCCAAGTCCTCCCAGATCCACCGCCACGCCCACCTCCCCACCCAGGCAACTTCATATGCATTTGCCCTCTCTTTCTCTGACCACTGAGAAAGAGAGACACGCCTGTTTGTGTGAGACAAGCCTTCTTGTGTATGAAGGCTGCTCGGGACCATGAGTGGCGTGCCACGGGTCACCAGCAATGAGAACTGCCTTCCCCACACCAAGTAATTATCGAATGCCAATCACCTCAGTTAGGGGTAGGGCTTTGTGCCCACCTTCTTTCTCCATGCCAGAATTCTGTTTGCCTTGAGTTTGCGCAGGGCTTACGCACGCCGTCATAACTTCCGGGAGTTCATCTGTGCATCTGCCCTGCTTTTGCTGGAAGACACTTTTCCCATGAAGTCCGCTAGCTCTTGCCACTTTTCCTGCCCCTCTTCTGCACAGATCTCTGAGCCTTGGGGTGAGAGGTGTGCTATGTGTCTCTCTCACTTAGGGCTGAGGACTCAGTCTCTTCTTCTCTGCACCCGGCCAGTTCAAAGTCTCTGTTTGAGTTGCCATCCGTTTGGCAAAAAGAAATTTCTCTAAGAAGAGCTGAATGATGCACCGACCTGTGTTCCAGCTCAGACTCCACGTGGTCTTGGTAGGTAGACTGGCTAATAGCAGGAGCTGGTTTTTCTTTCATGAGTGTGTGACTGTGTGGTGGAGAGGCCAAGAACAATGTAATTTTTACTGGAAGTGGAAGTGAAACCCTACAGCTCCTTGGCTCCACAGTAGCTCCTCTAATGAACTGTACAGGAGTTCACTGTGATACAGAAAGCTTGAAAGGCTTCCTTAAACTAGGTGTGTGGTGCTTTAATTTATGAATTAATTAGAACAAAACGAATTAAAAGAACAAAGCCTTCAAAACAAGACCTTGGGGTTAATATGATGATATGCTGAGACAGTAAAAATTCTGTACTCATATGTCAGTGACTCAAGAATTATCCTTGCAAGGCTGGAGAAATGACTCAGAGGCTAAAAACACTTAATTTTCATGAAGAGGACTGGAGTTCTGATCCTTGTATCCAAGTTGGGTGGCTCACCAATGCCTGTAATTTCAGGGGATCCAATATCCTCTCCTGGCATTCATGGACACACACACACACACACACACACACACACACAGAGAGAGAGAGAGAGAGAGAGAGAAACATATATACACACTATTGTGTGACAAGACTTTTCCTGGGAGACACACACACACACACACACACACACACACACTCACACACAGCAGATAGGAGCCTATAACAGACCAAAGTCTGAATATTACCAAACTCCAGTGAGTTTTATTGGGGTCACTTACAGGAATGTTGGTGAGAAGTTGCTTCCAGGAGCAGAAATGACTGGAAGATACTAGCATCACCAAAGCCAACCCAGTATGGTGGCTGCTCAGGAAGCTGGGACTGCAGCCCTTTGCACAGCCTGCAGGGGCTCCACGGGCTGGAGAGTGTCCTTTCCAAGTGACTCAGCTGGTCTAAACCTCTCTGGCAGCTTCAACAAGGCAGCCAGGCTAGCTCAGATGCTTCTTTTCAGCTCTGTTCTTCTGATTCTTCTGATGTGACTCTCAGCAGTCTTTACTGCTTATTCTTCGGGGAAGAGAGATAAGTACTGAATCTAGTAAGTTTCACAGACTTCCTGAAGCGATTTTAAGGTGTCCCCCCCCCCATTTTAAGGGCTTCCTTGCAGGACTGAATGTTTCCATCTTGAAAAAGTCCTAATTCTTGATCAACTCATATTTTCATATAAGACATCAGGCAGAGATGAGGGAGGAGGAAGTATCTCCAGAGAAGGCTTCATCCTAGTTTGTCAGTAGCCTGTCAAGTGTCACACTCAGATTATTACATCACTGCAATCTTATAATAACTTCCTGTTCTCCATTATGATCTCTCCAGTCTTCTTTTAAGTCCTGTAGTCTGCTGACAGGAGCCCCCCCCCCCTTCTATCTCCCTTCACTGCAGACTCTGCCTCTTAGTGGGTCTAAGGGACCCAATCTCTTTCCCACAGCTCCTCTCGGACTTACTTCTTAGTCAGTTTCCATTCTTTTCGGCCACACATTGACCCAGAGAAACACTCTCTACCAGGGAGTTCATAGCCATCACACTTACCTAGGATCCAGAAACAGGAACAGCAACCAAAGGACAAAACACCCACCCAACAAGATCTCAACACCAAGGTACACCTCAAGCATGAGTCCAGATGCCTAGACCCCAGTGCAAAAATACAAACTTCAAAAGCCTATAAAACATGCCTTTACCAGAAGCCAGAGCCAACATCAATCTGAGACAAACTCAATGCATTTCCATTAAAATCAGAAATAAGACAAGGTTGTCCACTCTCACCACATATATTCAATGTAGTACTTGCATTCTTAGCTTGAGCAATAAGACAACTGAAGAAGATCGAGGGAATACAAACAGGAAAGGAAGGAGTCAAATACTTTATTTGCAGACAATAAAGTTATATATATATAAAACCATAATAACTCCACCAGAGAACTTCTGCAGCTGTTTGACACTTTCAGGAAAGCAGCAGGGTACAAAATCAACACACAAAAATCAGTAGCTTTTCTATATACACATGAAAAACTGAGGAAGAAATCAGGGAAATAGTATCTTAGGCTCAAAAAAGATCTTGGAATTTTAAGACATCGAAGAAAAAAGACCACAGAAGATGGAAAGATCTCCCATGCTCATGAATTGGTAGAATTGATTTCCTGAAAATGTCTCATCTTACCAAAAGCAATCTACAGATTCTATCCAATCACTATCGAAATTCCAACACAATTCTTTATAGAAATTGAAAAACAATCTTCAACTTCATAGGGAAAACACAAAAAGACTCAGGATAGCTAAACAATTCTTAATAATAAAAGAACTGTTAGAGGCATCATCACCCCAGATTTCAAGTTGTACTAACAGAGCTCTACTAATGAAAACAGCATGGCGCCAGCATAAAAGGAGACACATTGACCAACGAAATTGAGTTGAATACTAAGACATAAATCCACACACCTATGGACACTGATTTTTAGCAAAGGAACAATAAAACACACTGAAGAAAAAAAAGGCATCATTAACAAACTGGATGACTGCATATAGAAGAATGCAAATAGATCCATTTCTATCAGTCCACACAAAACTCAACTCCGAATGCATCAAGGACTACGACAGAAGACCAGATATCCTAAATCGGATAGATGATGAAGTACAGAATAGACTTGAACTCATAGGCACAGGAAAGGACTTTTTGAACTGGACACTGATAGACTATCATTAAGACCAAAATTAATAAATGGAACCTCAAGAAGCCGAGTAGCTTCTGTATAGCAAAAGACACCAGCATTGGGACAAAACAGAAGTCTATAGGAGGGGAAAAGTTCTTCACCAATGATTCATCTGGTAAAGTAAATATCCACAATATATGAAGAATTAAAAAAAAGTGAACATCAGGAAAACAAATAACCCACTGGACAGTGGTGGCACACACCTATAATCCCAATACTTGGAAGGGAGAGGCAGGTGGATTGCTGTGAGTTTGAGCTGCCTGGTCTACAAAGTGAGTCCAGGACAGCCAGGGCTACACAGAGAAACCATGTCTAGAAAAAAAAAAACCAACCAACCAAAACAAAGAACAACCCAATTAAAAATGGGAGCAGAACTAAGCAGAGAGCACACAAAAGATGAAACAAAAATGGCTGAGAAACACTTAAACACTTAATGAAATGTTCAACAACCAGAACCATCATGAAAATGCAAGTTAAAGCTACTTGGAGATTTCCTCTCATACTAGTCAGAATGGCAAAGATAAAAAAAAAATGAATGTAGAGTAAGGGGAACATTTATCTATTTCTGTTTGTAGTATAAACTTGCACTATGGAAATCAGAAGCTGAGAATAAGTCTACCTCAAGATCCGGCTATATCCAAAGATCTTGGCATATATCCAAAGGACTCCTAGGACTGATGCTTATTCACCCATGTTCATTGCTGCTCTAGTTGTGAGAACTGTGTATTGGGAAGAGCCTAGATGTCTATCAGCTGGAGCATGAATAATAAAAATGTTGCACATTTACATAGTGGATATTACTGAGCTGTTAAGAAATGAAATTATAAAAGTTGCAGGTAAATGGACCAAATTAGAAAATAATCCAGAGCCAAAAAAATGAATATTTTATGCCTTCTTTAGTATGTTAATATCTTTGATATGGATTTACAATCCAAATAAACACAGAGGTTAAGTACCTAGTAAGGGGCTAGTGGAGAGGAGAAGAGAGGACACTCCATGAAGAGGAAAATAGGATCTAGTATAGAGATATAAAGGGGAAACTAGAATAGGAGGATTGAATATGAAGGGGGGATGGAAGAAAAGTAGAATGTAGGAATATGGGAGGGACAACTAGCACTAAAGGTTGTTTGAAAAAAACATACAGAAACTTATTACTGAAGAAGCTTCCTAAAATACATACATATACAGAAGGAATCTAAGTGGAGTCAGTCAACAGGAGGAGTTATGCCACCAACTAAAATTTTCAGGGCCAGGATTGGGTTACATCTTTTTGAGTCTTGAGCAAATGGGGTCTGGGAGATACCTCCCAAACATCACAGGTTATTTACAAGAGTACTGGTTACCTAATGATAAGGTCCTATTGCTGAAGATAATGCTTACTTATTTGCCAATCATGGAGAAGTCAAGATGGCGGCTAATTAGAAGCTTCACCCTACTGACTAGTGTTCCTGGTGCTGGAAGGTATGCTGCACTCTACCAGAGGGAAAAGGTAATCCTCAGCCCAGCAACGAACAGTGTGACCGATAACACTGACCTACCTCAGGACATACTACTATAATAGTGGCACAAATGTCATGGGAGTAAGCAACCACTTTCTGCTTGGATTTAAGGTCTACTCCATGAAATGAAATCCACAGCTAACACTGATAAAGTGTCCAAGAACCTGAGACTAGACCAAATACTACTATTCTCATAGAGGGACATAACGATAAAATGACTACTGATGACATTCTGCTATATCTATAGATCAATGACTCCCTCTGTAGTAAGAATTTTGGTTTCTTTGAAAACCCAGTTTTGTTCTGTGAATATATATATATTTTGATCCCAGAAGTGGGATATGGAGCTGCTTCAGACTGTCCACAGCAATTAATTATAATGTGTCTTGTGCTCTGGCAGAGGTGTAATTTTTGCCAGCTTCAGATAGTTTAATTCTGGGAACACTTGATAGGGTAAAAATGGGAAAGTCTTGGGAGGGCCAGCAGCAGCTGCCTCTCCCCTGCTGCTGGTCCCTCCTGTTGTTGTTTCCTGCTGCTGCCTTTGCTGTTGCTGGATTACTGGACTGCTGGTTTGCTATTTCTGGATTGCAGTTTGCTAGATTGCCAGATACTCAGACAAAGAAGATTGGACCTGCCCCTGAGAACCCGACAACCCTGATCAGCAGGAAGTAGCTTAAAAAGGTCTATGTCCCCTTTTTCCTCTAACCTTCTTTCTCACCTACCTAGTGTTGGAGGGTTGGAAGGTATTTAGGTGGAGAAAGGTGGTAGATATAAGAACACAAATAAAATAGCTAACAAAAATATGCCTACATCCATCAGCTATCAACAGAGACATTTCTTCCTGCAGTGGATGAAAATTAAAACAGACTGACAATGGGGCAATGTGCAGAGAGTAAAGAGATGGTGGAGGACCCAGTCTTCTTAAATGGGATGTCTTCATCAAACCCTACCCCTCAAAGCTCAGAGGTCTATGCAGGAGAGAAGGTGGAAGGATTTGAAGAACCAGAGATGCTGGATGACTCTGAGGACACAGCGTCTTCCAGACACAGCAGGACTGATGCACATATGAACTCACAGAAACTGGCTGCATATATAAGACCAGGACAAGTTCAAGCCAGAATGGTTCCCAGTCCTGAGATGAAGAAGTGGACCCAGGGTCCTATCCTTAATCTGCTGTCTGCAACTGATTCCCACTGGCAAAGGAAAAAGCAGTTTAGTTTTCTCCAAGGAGTCTCACAGGGTACATTAACCACCCCTCAGGTTAACCTCACGCCTAGGGATACTTGGACAACAACAACAACAACAACAAAAACCCTCAATATTTAGTAGAGTTTTGCTTTTTTTTGGTCTCATATTGCTTTGTATGGAGGTTTCTTTCTTTCTTTCTTTTTGTCTTTTGGTTGTATGTTTTGGTGTCTATTTAGGCGTGTGTGCGTGCCTGCGTGCGTGCGTGCGTGCGTGTATGTGTATGTGTGCTACTATTTTGTCTATTTTGTCTGTATTATTGTAGCCACTTCACTTTTCTCCTGGGTACTATTTGCTGCTATGCCTTTTCTTGTGTTTTTACTTTCTGTCCATAGCTTTCAGGTCCCAAGTTTTAAAAATTAGTGTAAATTGTACAAAATAATGGGTTTTATTATATTTTAAGACATGTACATACTGTACTTCAATAATGCTCACACCCTCTTTTGCTCCGTCTCAATGGTTACTTTCATCTTAAATAAACCCTTCTCCTGGATTCATGTCTTCTTAAAATATCTCCATATTTCATCTGTGGCTACACAGCACAGATCTGCATTTTAGCATCGTATTCTTGTATCATAATCACACCCTTGTATTTGTCCATTCCATTTTCCAGTCAATGGACAGTGCAGATCTGCACTTTAAGCTCCCATTCTTCCATCACAATCACACCCTTGTTTTTGTGCATTCTGTTCCCAGTGGAGAAAAAGGGTTTGTGGCAAACACTCCTTACCCGCGTTTATTCAGGAGAAATATAAACGTGAAGAACCAAGATCCTTGTATTTCTTAGAAATCCTTGTTAATGTGGCTTTGTTAAGTTAATAAACACAGTGTTGTGAATTAGAAGTAAAAGCCAACTCTCCTTTGTGAAAATACGGCACATTACAGCGCCCTGTTCCACTTACATGCTCCTTCATAGCTCCTATCAGCGTGGACTATGCCACGCATGGGGTATGCATGTATGTGCACATTCTCTCATTGCCAAGGAATAAGATCCACATAACAGACATGTTTCCAGGACTGCTGGAAACAATGTTTTTAGTACTGAGTTCTTGAAAGAGAGAGGTCAATTTGCTAAAAATCAGTTCACGAAAATCCAATACTCTGAAAATCGTTTCACAAAAATCCAGTGATCAGTGAAAAGCTGACTAGGACAATAATAAAGAAAACCTGTCCTCATTAGTCATAATGTCTCACTTATTTTAAAAAGAATATCAAATTAAGTCACTCTGTGCCTGGTTGTCCTATATTAGCCTTCTGACAACTAAAACTTGTTACAATGTTAGGTGACCACTAACATTTTAAAAATGATATCTTTATTAATTCTTTGAAAATTTTATACATACATACATAAAATGTATTTTAACCATATGCACTCCCACTCCTCCTCCTAACGTCAGATCCGTTCCCCCAGCATCGCATTCTCTCGCTTTAAATAGCCCATCATTACTCTAATTTGTACTGTCCCCACGGTCATGGTGATGAGGCCTTCCCCTGGAGTGGGCCATACACTTCAAGAGAACATTCTTGGCCCCTCCCCCAGCAATCATCAACTGCTCATAGCACCTCAGAGAGCAGGGGAGACTCAGGATCCCTTCCCATCCACACTAGAGTGTTGACTGGCTTGATTTTGCGCAGGTCCTGTCGCTGCTAAGACAGCTGCTAAGAGTTCATGAGTGAAATGATCTTGTCATGTGTAGACAAACTGTTTCACCCCAGTCCTTGCCAGCTAACTTGTTTTGTTTTTTTTTAATCTTCTGATAAGCACATGAACAAGTTATTTTAAATGTTACTAAAAGTTAAAAGAATCAAGTTATGTTTTACACATCATGCAAACATGAGAACATATTTGAGAGTTTGGTGTAACATTGCATTTGGGGCTCATGTCATCAAATTTCCAAAGAAAAATATGCTACACTCTCTTCACTTCCAATAAGCAAGTTTTTTTAAGAAGTAGTTTAACATGTATTTATTTTACAATATCTTCAAGATATCTTACATTGTCTACTTTTACTTATAATAGTAAATTATAACAAAATAGACAATAAAAAGGTAGACTCACTTCTCTAGGAAAGTGGCTGAGGTTATTAAATGATAAATTGAGGTATACCAGCTGGTAAGCCAAAACTGTTAAGTCTGGACAGTTCAGAAGAAAGAACCCCTGAAGGAAAATAACAACAACAAAGATGACTTACTAACAGTAAGTTCTTGCACTGTTATACAATATTTAATTATCTACTAGTAATACAACCTCGCAAACAGGATGCACTGTTAAAACCTGATCTGTTAAGAGTAGAAGCAGAACTCTAGGCAGTTCTAAATTGCACTGTTCTTTGCACGTCTATTCTTTGCAGTGGTGTGTGTGTGCATGAGTGAGCGTAGGCATATGTTCCACGGGGCATGTGTAGCAGTCAAAGGGCAACCTTGGGCATCAATCTCTGCCTTCCACTTTGAAACATTTGCCCCACATCTCAGACAGAAGGCTGGCTGGCCGTGAGCTTCTGAGGGTTCTCTTGCTTCCTCTCAGGATCACATGGTACCTACTCATGCTATCATGCCCAGGTTTATGTGGGTTGTGGGGGTTCGAACTCATGTCCTTAGACTTGAATGCAGGTGTTTTATCCACTAAGCCTGAACTATTTTTAAGAGATGATGAGCACGTCTTCATTTTTCCATGGGTAATTTGTTTCAGTGAACAACTTCCCTAGTTTCTTTTTCTGATGTACAGAAACACAGTCTATGATTTCGTATGTTGCTCTTACTGACTGTAATTTTTCTGAACTTATTTATTAGCTCTAAGACCACTGTTGGGGTGATTATGGTTCTAAAAGCCATAATTCCAAACACTGAAATGCCCAAAGAGCACATGACAATCCTCAAATATTAACGTCCTGTTGAAATCCTGACACTCGAAATCCTTAAAACCAATTCCCATCAGAGGAAAAAAGAAAAGCTGCATAACAAAGACAAAAAGCCAAGTCCTCAGCTGGGGACTGATGTATGTATGAATGTAAAGTATGATGTATGTATGAATGCTGGACTGTTGCTAATTATTTACCACTTCGGCCTTTTGAGACACAGTGCCACACGTATTCAAGACATGCTCTTCAGCTGAGAGTGAAAAGAACTTGACAAGCATCTTGAAACTAAGATGCTTTCCTGATGAAATATCCCTCCAGGGCTACAGAACACATTCATTACGTGATCAACTGGAGCTATTTCTAAGTAGGGACATGACTGCTGAGGTGATAAAATTAATTCATTTACTAACATGAAGAAAAGAGCATACTTCACTCTGAGTAACAGGTGAAACTTTTAGAACTCGTTAATATTCTCTCTCCCTCTCCTCCTCTCTCCCCCTTTCTTTCTTAAAACAAAACCAAACAGGGAATCCCCAAAACAAATGTATATATCTTTGAGGTCAAAGAGTTCCGGGAAACTGGGGATGTAGCCCATTTTGGTAGAGCGCTTGCTCAGCATGCACGGAGCCCTGGAGTCCAGGCCCAGAACCATGTAGGTGGGACATATTTGCAATCCCAGCACTCGGACGGGGAGGCATGAGGATCAAAAGTCATCCACAGCTACACAGTCACTTCAGGAGACCCTGGCGCAAAGGTGCAAGCAAGCAGGCACGTAGTTCCGGGTACAGGCACAGCTCTGCTAACTTACCTTCAGGCCCTGTGCAAGCTACGTTCCTGCACCTCCCGGTTTGCATCTGTAAAATGAAGGTTTTTAAGTTGCCCGCCCTACAGGAGGGGCACAGGCTTGGAACACACTGTGTGTTTAATAAATGACAGCCACTACTCCTGCGATTCACCTGCTGGGCAGTGCGGCTGTTCAGTGCAAACCTGCCTCCCGTCAGACTTGACATAAGGTCTAAAGCGCCTGGTTGTTTAGAACAACGAAGACTTCAATCCCACTTATCAGGCTAAACGGTGGGGAAAAATAAATAAAAACAGTTATAATCTCTCTGGATCTCAGCATCCTTTTTAAACTTCATTGGTGAACCGCAGACAAACATGGACAGGTAAGTTTAGAGGTATAATGTGCAGACTTCCTAGGAAGGCTCTGCTGTGGTAGGAGAGGCTCCTTCACTCGAACAGAAGCTAACCTCCATTGGGAAACTGAAGGTAAAAACAAAATCAAACAAAAATGATAACATCAGAGGGCATTACCATTAAGGAGCTCCAGCATACCTTAAGATTAAGTGCGTTTCTTCCATATATTTGGCAATGTATTATGGCCAGGGTGGTCATTGCTACTAGGGTATCATAGCGTGTCCCTGTCATAGTCTTTAAGCCTTCCCCTCGCAAAACATAGCCACTTGGCTCTCTTCTTCTCATGTTTCTAAGTAAAGCTGAAACAAATCAAAACATAAAACTTCAGTGTGTTATGGCTTTTACATAATGGCTAAGTGACACGGATGCTCTCACAAGAATGAGTTACCAATGGGATTAAGTATCCAGATCTCCTCAAATCACCTTCCTAGATCCTTCACCCATCTAGTCTGGACCGGTCTGCGTGCCACATGGAGCATCTTGCCTGTAAAACTGTCTTTCCAAAATAAAACTGTATGTTCGCTGATAGATTCTACCTGGAAGCTTGGATCAAATCTCTGCGTTTTGTAGCTATGCATAAAGATAATTGAAAAAATTATCCACTATATATTAAACGGACAACGTTTTGGTTTACAGAATTAACAATGGGCATTGTAAAAGCATAGTTCCAATGTCACTTCCCCAGGAACATCTTCACTTACAACCTAAGATCCCCTGATATGTGGCCTATCCAAGTTAACTCTTCCCTCAGTGTGTAGAGGCCATACAGAGAAGGAAAGAAAACAAGAAACTACCCAGCAGTTAGCAAAGCAGAGATCATCTACATTTAAATGTACTTTATCACGACCCCTATGGGGATTAGCTTGCATCGGATATGGTCTATGCAAGAATATATCAAGTTGCAATTTGAAAATACTTTGAAATTCTATTAAATATATTTCAAATCTGCAAATATTTTTGCTATATGACTTGCAGAAACACTTTTTTTTTTTCAGACTATGTAGAGCACGCTGGCTTTGAACCCATAGGGATCTGCTGTCTCTGTCTCCTGAGTACTGGAATTTAAGGTATGTGCCCTTATGCTCTATCAGAAACACATTTCACAGTGTCTATAATTGCTTCAGTGAAGAAATGAAGGCTCCAGAAGAACCACAACAAAAGTGTTCAGTTCTTAATTTCTTACACAGACTCCATTAAAGTGAAGGGTAATCACAACCTTTAGAAATGTGTATTGAAATCTGTGTAGTGAAATCTGATCATTGAAGGAGGGATAGAGTGAGGGGGACAGGAGGATGAGCCTTTAAGATACAAGATGGCAGCTTGCTCCCTGCTCATCCACCCTGCTAATCCATAAGCTTCTCTAGGTTTGGGGATTGTGGCCACCTGAGTCATGCCTCCATTGGTTACTTTCTAATGCCTTGGCAGCTGTTTTATGCACATTTTGGTAGATTTAACTGTTGATTTTGGCAAGAACGTTATTCAAATAAAAGTTATTCAATAACGGACAGGACCAGATAACTGTTATCTGTCAGATAATACTACTTCTGCTACTTTTCATTCATTTTGTTTTTTGTTTGCTTGAAAATGATACATTGTCAGCCACATACTATGTCCCTCAGATTGTAGGTAGACGTAAAGATGAGATCGAAAATAGGGTAACTTTTTAGGTAATATAATGTCTTATAGACCAGCCTGGCATGGAACTCACTACGTAGCCCAATCTGGCCTTTGAGTCCTCCCGCCTCCATGTCCTAAGTGATGAGATGACCAGTGTCTGCCACCATCTCCGGCAGTTGAATGATGTGAGGTTTCCCTAAAGATGGCTCTCATTTGTTTCTGCCAGCTGACTAAGGTCCAAGCCCTTAGACTAGAGCCCAGCATGTGGTGAGAGCTGGCACTTACGCGTGTATGTCTATCAACCCCGTCTAGATAAAGGACACGGCAGCTTTTACATCCTCAGTACAACATCTGGCTGACCGTCAATGTGTACGGCTTGAGGGACTGCAAATGGGGTAGGGCAGATGTGTGCACTACACGCTTACACAAACAGAATCACAGACACACGTGGGCAAGAAAGAATCATCTTACAATTTCTCCAAGAATGCCATAAAGCCAGCACTTACCTTCAGGCCTGGGGAGTTCCAATTTTCCAGTTTCTACGGCATTTTCTAAATAAATGGGGGTGGGGTGGGGAGAAAAGGACAACTTTTAGATACCTTTGAGGGTGGTTTCATTATAATTATTCATCATTTAAAGGACTGGGATGCAGCTGTAAGCACTTCCTGTCTTCTTCAAGAGTCCTCTAGGCCACCCTCTAAATTGCTGTTTATTCTCATTCGACTTTAGGTCCCACATAATGCATTACAAGACACCTTCTCACTGTCCCCTTTCTAGGCTTTCTGAACTTCTTGATTACCTTTCCTCAAGACTTGTCTTTCCTCTCTCCCTTTTGTTCTGATTGACCCAACTACTGAAGACCACGGTTCAACTTCATTTACCTATCTCAGCCTGCCTCAGAGGTTTTCTTGGTCCGGAAGGCATCGGCAGAATACTGGCTTCCGGGAGAGCAGCAATCCTCAGGACCACTCTGTTTATGGATAAGGTGTGCTGTGGCCGTTGGGCCCACCGTGGTTCTGGTACTATAGATGAAGGGCTGGAGACAGGGCTGAGAAGGACTTCGCTTACACTTACATCTCTCACAATAGAGACCTTCTGAACATAGTCTGGAGTCTTCACTATAGGGCGAGACTCCGGGGTTATTATCTTTAAGGTAGAAGTTAGACACCTAGAGTAAGAAGCGGGAAAAGGTTTGGGAAGCTCGCTGGAAAGAACCAAAGCGTTGCTGAACGGCGTCTGAGTGAACACCTCCTCCACTCTGTCTCTCTTCTTGAACTTTCTGAATCCTCTTATTTGGCGTATCTTGTTCCTAAAATCTTGAGAAGATGCCGGCAGGAAAGTTGGGATAAACATGGACCTAGCGACATTGTGTGGGATCTTCCAGTGGATGGAATGTGTTCTGCGAGAACCCGGGACAGCGCTGACCACCCTTTCCGGTGTCTTGTGGTAATAATCCAGAGAAATGCTCTGAATGCTGACAGTCTTCTGTGATGTAGAAACACTGTGGCCGATTTTCATTGAAGCGCTTGCGTGGCGAGAGAGCTTCACAAGGGACTGCTCAGTTTCATGAGTGGTCGCTGAACAAGAAAAAGCGGGAAGAGTAAAAATTAAGCTGTATTTACCAAGCTGTCCCAAACAGAGCTGCCAAAGGCTGAGCCTTTGGTTTCCATTTCTTACTTAGCCTCACTCACCTTTGGGGAGACTTCTGTCAAACTGTTTGAGCAAACAACTAAGACAGCTAAAGACCTACAAAGGATGCCTTGGGGCAAGGTACAAGATGTAAAGAGAGTCTTGGGGCAGCTGTCACTCAATCTCTGGTACCATGAATGGAGCAAGTGATTTTTAGTGAATATAAAAGCAGTCTTTCAAATGCTATTGACACACACCAATCAGTCTTGTTACTCTCCCTCTCCTTTTGGTGCTGGCGAGGGGCTTGTAATTTCTCACTTCAGACCATCGGAGGGGGACTTGACGAGAGAGCCTGGTATGTAGGAGTGTCTGCCGAAGGGAATCTGACATCTTCCCTAACACCTAAGGACCGCCTCAGCGGAAAAAACAAAAGAAAACAACAACAAGGATGCCAGCATCCTTAGCCATATCATTTCACCATGATCTTTGCTCTTCTACTGTATTATATTCCCACTTTTCCAGTACTTAACCTCTGCTCTCAAAAACCACAGTCTCCCCCCCCCCTTTTTTTTTTTATCCCACTTTAAGTCACGCCTTGTTCCTACCCCAGCACCTTCTCCTATCTGCTAGCTACACCTGTCTGTACCTCTGCCGGGACACACAGTGCATCCACTGCTGCCATGTCCTGTCTCGTTCACATTTTCATTTTGTGTGAAGCCCCTTAGTAGTGGCTAATTGAAAGGTGAGGAAAAGCATAAACAAGGTCGCTAGCTCTAGATGATGAAAAGTATGTTCCAGTTTTAGCCACTTAAAGGTTCTTGTTCAGTGTTTTCATATTTATTTTATAAATTATATTTACATTATATATAATATAAATTGAGCCACTGTATTTGTTCATTCATTGAACAATTATCTCAAATATCCACGATGAGCAAGTACTCTGGATTGGTCAAAAGACGAATTAGCCTATTAGTCATTCATAGACTCTGCAAGATACCGAAAGCAAACAGCCCCTGTAGTGCCAACACTGAGAAATTCTGCACCAGAATACGGAGTTAAACGAAAAGACAAATAGAAAAGCTCCAGCACAGAAAGTGGCAATGAGCTCTCGGCCTGCACGATCACGGGTGCTACTTAGAGAACAGGTTGTAGATATAGAAACACACAGAAAGGATAATGTACAAACAACACAACAACGGTTGTGTGGGATTCGGAGGTGATGGCTATGTCGCTTTTCACATTTGTAATAGGCATAGTTCAAAACATAGTAAATTTAATATTATAAATAAAACTCCCAATATATAAGTTGGCATCAAAATAATATAATCAATAAAGCCAAGTGGTAGAGGAGAGTCAGAAGGGAATGACAAAGAAATACCATTGCTTTTATAAATGTAATAGTTAATAGAGAAATATACAGACATATGGGACTAATAAGACTACACAGAGTTACATTATAAAAGTGGCTCATCTTTTAAAAAAATGTTTTTTAATGTGCATGAATGTTTTGCCTATATGACACATATGCCTAGTGCCTTCAGAGGCCAGAAGAGAGCACTGGATCTTCTGGAACTGTGAGCCACCAAGTAGCTGCTGGGAATCAAACCTTGGTCCTCTAGGAAGAGCAGCCAGTGCTTAACCACTGAACCATCTCTCCAGACCCAAAGTGGCTCATTTTTATAGTGATTTACACAGGATGATTTTTACATTTACTTGAGATTTTTATCTATCCCACTTGACAGAGACTAATGGAAGGAAATGAGAAAGATCTGGTTTTATTAGCTATTTTTATCCCCAGTTCCTAGCACTGTGCTTAATAAGTACAGTCAATCTTCATGATCTGTGAAAACTTAGCAAACACTCAACTTCCCTACACAGAACTCCCGGGAAAAATATAAGATTAGGTTCCTTTAAGACTCTGTTCTCAATACTTTCATCAACCAATCAACACATATACATAATCTTGCGGTTATATGTTCTGAATTTAAGGACATATTGTTTAAACATACAGTAAGTATGTATTAATATGTAGAATATATTATTGACTTGTTTACATGGACCTCACAGCCAAGAACAACACACATCAAGGAAGTTCCTCTGCCACGAGGTCTCTGCTAAGCGCATCACAATCTTCTTTTGCTTAGACTGAAATCACACGCACCAAAAAGAAAAAAAAAAAAAGAAAAAAGACACATAAAATCAAGAAACATAGAACTAAGTAGACCAGGAAAAGAACACCTGTTTATATTATGGGAGCTGAACCAGGAGGGCAGAGGTAGTCCAGTACCATCCAGCTGTGTGTATAGGTGGGTTGGGGAACTAATATTTTCATTTATCTTTTATTCCCATGAATGAAAGAACTATTGACCTGGAGATTTCAAATAAATTTTAGCAATAAGTAAACTCACATTTAACAAATCCACAAATGAAGATCAATCAGTGAACATACCTATAGAACTGATCATTGGCCGTTGTCACCTTAAAACAAAAAATTTGCGTTATGGTTATTAATAACTGTCTTTAGCTGTGATTGTGAATTATATGAGGCAAGGAATTTCTATGAACATACACACACACACCAAGATTAATACATATATCTGTACATACCTGTACGAACTTTCTTCCTAGATAAGGGCAACTTAGGGAGCTTTGGAGGTAAGGGTCTCCGAAGAAGTAGCAGGTGTTGCTGTGTTTTTAATGACTGATTCTCGCTCTCCTGCATAGCGGTTGGTTAAGTGAAAACTGAAGTTTCTAAGAACGGACTGTTACTGAAGAGAAGTGGTTGTCGATTAGAAAATATCCTGACAGATATTTTTCTGTCAGGATATCTATCAAAATATCATTCTGTGCTAATACTATACTCAGTTCAAACAGAATCTATTTGTGAGGGGGAAAAAAAAGAGTAAAAACCATCATTTAAAACCTTTGTGAATAGTTTAAAAATGCTTTGTAAAGCATTTTTAAAACTTACATGTATTTTTTAATACAGGCTTAAGCACGAGGTTTGAGAGAGGCAGAGGGGCACTTAGAAAGTTCAAGGCTCTCCTTTTGTACTGGAAATGGAAACTATGGCCTCACTCAGGCTAGGCAATGTCCCCACCACTGAGCCAAACCCCCTGCTTTCAAACTTATTTAAAATTAAAAACTGGGGAACACACTTGTAAGCCCAACTCTTGAAAGCCTAAAGACAGGAGGATCAGCCTGGGCTACACGCGGGTGGGAGGGGCGTAGGGGGTGACGGAATGGATTTCTTTAGAAGTTTAGATTAATAATTAATATAGACAAAACACATTTTATTATTAACTGGGACCATGCTAACACTCTTGAGTGGGAAATTCAACCAGCCAAGGCCATTTTCAAGTCAGTAAATGGTGACTCCACCAATGTAGATATGATATTTCATTCACTTCCTCCCAAATATTATCAGTATAGATTTAGAAGTTTTGGTCGGAAAAAAAAAAAAAAGATGTGAAAGATCCTTCTATTGTAAAAGCCTCTGAAATCCCACAGTACCTAACCACTCACAAACTGTTTTCTCGTATGACAGTGACTTATGTTTAACTTTCAGCCGGCATAATTTGTCCATAATTACGCAACCTAAAATTAAGGCAGGCTTTAATACAATGAGCTGTTCCAGGATGGCGGGGAATCCCAGCTCACACGGAAATTACGATTCAAGATGCACTCCCTCCCCACCCCAAAAAATGCGCCTTTGTTTTCAGGACAACCACAGAAGCGCCTGGCACGGCGCTGCTCCGCCGCCGAGCGCCTGGCAGGGAATCCTGGAGCGGTGCAGAGGAACGGTTTACCCGCGAAAGGTAACTGCAGGCCAGCGCTCGCTCGGGATCTGCGGGCTGCCAGCGCGTGGCCGCCGCGGCGAGTCTCCTTCGTCAGGAGGACACTTCGTGGGGAGGACACTTCGTAAGGAAGACCCCCTCGGAGAGGCGGGCTCCTGCGGACCCGGCCTTCAATCAGACAGACCAGTTTTCCCACGTCCATCTCCTTCGTCCCTGGGTCCTGGCTGCCGGTGACCGGTCTAGCGAGGTCTCCAGTCAGGGCTCGGTGTTTCTGCAGGACGCGGGTCCGTTTGCACCATCCCTAGCCCTAACCGCGGGCTGGGTCTGATGCGTTTAGAGGGACCGCCAACCAGGGCCACCCCAAGCAGGTGGGAGGCGCAGGCGCACGAGGGCCGGGCGCGCCCGGAGAGAGGGGCGGGGCCCGTAGGGCCCTCCCACTGGACCCGCCCACTCCATCCACCGCCCCAGGTCGGTGGCCCCTATTTCTACCGCGGGCAGCTTGCAGGATGTCAGGAGGCTGAAGCGGTGGAGCCAGGAGGAGCGGCTCCACGTGCAGATGTACGGAAGGCTGTGGTGACAATCGTTATTACTATTCTTACTCTTAGAAACACTGGCTACTATTCGTTTGCTTACTTTTCTCCGTGACATGACATGACAGGAGTGTCTGGAGTCTGGGCTGGCATTTTCTAATAACGCTACACTTTTGGGCAGCTGGCCAACCGGTACTTCATATTGCAGTAAAACCCTGGTCTCCAAAGCGCGCATTCTGTTTTCCTCCTTGTCTCTTGGGTGCAACCTGTTCTGTGTTTCTGAGCTTTTCAAGTTCCTGGTGGAAGTGGAACTGTGTGGGAATGGGAGCGAGCGGTTCCAGAGTGCTTTTCACAGTGGTTGGTTTTGTGTTTATCCTGTTGTTGCTGTCTCTGTCGCGGTGGCAATGAATCTGAGTGCTCAGTGGTAGATATATCGTACGTGCTTGCTTTATATGTGCTTGCTTCTCTGGAGATTTGAGAATGAAAATTGGAAAGAACCTGTTACAGGAGTGGGGAAATCCAACTGAGATTTAAAGTAAGGGGCACTTCCTACCAGGCCTCTCCCTTATATGTTTCTCCTCTTAATTAAGGGTGTGGAAGTTTGAAATCAGAGACTTCCAGATTCATTTACTAACCAAGTCTTCTCTTTTCCCCTTAAGAACAAGCCCATATAGTAAAACAATGGGAAAATAATAGTTAAAGAGGAGTGTGGGTAATACTGTTCAATTGTAGTCCTGTGGAATGTTAGTATGTGGGTCTGTCGTGTACATTACTTTGTTCTAAATTAGGCGCCCTTTCCCAACCATGGCTTTTATTCCACTTCTGCCTGTGTCTGCATTAGATGGATTAGTTCCTCAGAAGGACAAGAAGCAGACAGAAAGGCAAAATCTCGTGGCCAGGTTCGTAATGTGTGTTGTTCATATTTTCTAAACATCAGAAATGTTTCTGTTCTTGAAGATAAAGATGGGTAGACCAGTTTCTGAAGCTGGATCTGTATTCTTAAAAGCTGATACCTACTGGAGTTCAGTTTCACTGACTGGTACTTGGCTTTTAAAATATATACTTAGTTTTGCATAGTCAAAATCAAGGCAAGTGCATTTGTTAATTAAAAAAAAATGCTTTGTCATTCCTTGCAGATTTCTTCTGGCAACTCCCAGGCCAGAACCTAAGGCAGTTTAATATGTAATCTCCGCACTCGTAAATATTTTGTTTCCTGTAACTATTACTGCCACTTAGCTGCAAGCATTTAGGAAAATAAGATAGTGATGAAAATGAAATCCCTGGTTTTATATGCCTTCCATGCCCGTGTCAGCTTACATGTTTTTCCATGGAAATGATATAAATACAGGGTAGATTTTTTGAAAGCCCACATTTCATTCAGTTCTGATTACTTTAGCACTTCCTGCATTTAATTTGTTACTTTTGAACGTACAGCCACCTCACCTTTCTTTTTCTTTCTTTCTTCTTCTTCTTTTAAAATACTGTTTTTCTCTTGGAAATGAGGACGCTCCATCCTGGGCTTTAAGATTCTAACTTCCCCTGAGGTACAGTTCGGTTGGCCAGTTTACTTGTCCTTTTAGATTTGCCATTTGGCAGAACCATTGCGGAATGAACAGCAGTTTTTTTTTTTTTTTTCGCTATTAGTAGATTGTGTGAAGGTGAGGAAGCTTATGCCGAACACCCAAGTTATGGGCATCCTTCGTCATGTTGTTATTGTTATTGCTAACATGAGATCAAGCCTTTACGTAACAACAGAGACTTGAGCGCCCTGCAGATAATGCCATTGATTGTCCTAAGAATGGAGCATGTGCAGAGAACCTCAGATTTGCCATTGGTGAAAGGATGCCATTGTTGGATGATGTCAAATGCGTGCTAGAGATCATCATTTTGCACAGGCCTTTGACTGATTGGTTGGTTGATTGATTGATTGATTGATTTTCCTTTCAAACAGGGCAGAAGTTTGCTAAACACCTTGGCCAGTATAGATCTAACATCTTACTGTGTGAAAATAACTGGAGATATTAGTGTTCTTTTGGTTGGGTAACTTTTAGAGGTTCCCTTAAAGAATGAATATTGTTCCTGTATTGAGTCCTTAGGCCACCAAAATGCTTGCGAGAAAGATCCTACTCTCTTGGCCTGTGTTTACAACTATTGATATTAGCTGTGTATGTTGAGAATGTTCTTAGTCTCTACCAGTCACCGCTGTGTGGCTTTAAAGACGTACATTTATGTCAGGCGTCCTTCTGCTTTAGCGGAGAACGGGTTTGTAGTTTCTCAGACACAAATGTAGCCTTTTGGTGGAAGCGGTTGCTAGTGGTTGCTCTTCTCATCCTTTCTGTCTCTGTGCAAAGGCCAGAGCTTCGCCTCTGCGCTTCACTGTTCGGGGCCAGATGTTTCCTTTTCTTTCTCAAGATGGATGGTACTTCCTTTCCTTTGTTTGAGTTAGAGATCCTGGGATTCAAACCAGAAGAGAAACATTGCCAACAAGGAAATGTCATGGAATCTACAGCGTGGAGTTAAGAAACAGCTCAAGTGTATGAAGGAACAATGCCTGTCTGTCCTGAACATTGTGTTTATGAATTCAGCAGTTAGTTCTGGAAGGATCCATCAGAGTGCCTCCTTTGTACACATCACTTTGGTAGGCACAAAGCCTTAACTTTAGTCATTAAATATTACTTTGAGGCTTTATTATTTCAGCTTCATAAATGAAATTTTAGGTTAAACCCAAAGCCTTACTTACCTGTAAATGCTCGAACCGATCTTCCTTTCTTTCTCTTTTCCTCCAGTTTGGTATTCTGTTGTTTGCATACAGTAGCGTTGCTTACTCATACTTTCCCAAATCTCAGGAAGAATTTGTGTTTCTTAGCTGCAGTGATCATTTTTCATTGTAAGTTGTATAGTCTGCAAATAGATGATATCAGAAATTTTTGGGCCAAAAAGTTGAATACTTCTTTCCTTGCTATAATGTTGGCTGTATTGTACTGCTCCGAGTTTTAACATGTCTTGTCATCAAGTGTTAACCAGACTCATTACTTGTGACATGGAAGGCCCTCCTGTGCAATACCTCCTGGTTGAGAATTCTAGTATGCACATCGCGTTTAATCAAGGGCTGTGTAGCATAAGTCTGCTCTTTTTGGGTTCATATCTCCCTACTGCCACTTGTTAGCTTGGTTTTCAGGCTCATTGCCTAGCATCTTTAAGCCCCTGAAGTTTCCTTACCTGCAAAACTGAGGGACTTTTGAGAATCGAAACATCCATATGCCTGTAAGGTGTGTAAACTTTGGCACTTCTGCTGAGCAAGTTCCTCTCGCATTTAGAAATGCTTTGTGGTGACTTCATTGTAAGTGTCAATAGCAGCTTGTCCTCTTAAACAGCAGAAAAGACCATTTGCTTTTCAAATCTAGCATTCTGCCTTATTCTCACTGTCTGGATTGGGCATATGTTTTGTTTGTAACTGTATAAAGATGGCAGATTACTTAAGGAGGTGATAATGGTGGGTTAGGATCAGTTGAGCAGAGGTTGCGTGGACATGTGGTATTCTGTATTGAGGACCTTTGAGTCTTTTGCCTCAGCTGGACAATTGCAGCAGTAGCCTCTCTCTCTCTCTTTCTCTCTTTTTCTCTCTCTCTCATGGCCACACAGTTGACAGCGATGTTACAGTTCTGCTGGATTTCCACTTCTATAATGCGCTCGTGTCAGAAACTTCCGTCAGGACTGACATTAGTGGATGTTCTAGGACACTGCTTCTCCGCTTACCTCTTGTGAAAATCTTCCTTGCTGATACACAAAGTCTCCTTCCTTTCCCTGCCAGCCATTCCAGCTGAGGTAATTCGCAGCAAAGAAAGAAGCATGGCATCCCAGAGCCTGGGGAAAAGGGCCAGGGATTTTGTTCTTCCTTTCTCTGCACTTCTAAGCAAGGCAAAAGCATCTTTTATTCACTTGATATAATTGTTGTCTTGGAGGCTTACTGCCTTTATTTTCTAACCTAGGCCTAAACCTGGAAGCTTCTAACCTCTGTACAATCTAATTTAGGCCTAGAATATTTTCAGCCTCCGAAACTTACTGCTGAATAAGTTCACCCTTTCTAGCTTTCTGAACTCTTGCTGGCTGGTTCAACTCAGATGTTCTGGCTCAAATTTCTTTCCCAGCTGACTGATTCAATCTGGCTTCTCTCTTGACCTCTGACTGAATTGCTTTGCTTGGCCTCAAACTAACTCTGGTTATCTGTTCTAGTCTTCTGGCTTCTTCTCATTCTCTGGCTCATTCTGCCTTCACCTGTGTCTACCTTGTTCTCTCTTCAACCTGTCTCTAAAACTGTCCCAGTAAAACTGCCTCTCCCGTCTATCTCCTCTCTCTCTCTCTCCCTCCCTCTCCCTCTTCCATCCTCCCCTTGTAAAACTCTCCTGGTTAAACTGCCTCTGAACTCCATGAACAGAACTGTCATGAACTCAGCTCCACTGCACTGCCTCTCAAATTTCTCTTGAATGAACT